GTCATGAGTTGTCTGGATTGAATATCCACACTGATTTTGCTACCGCTGACGATTAAAAAACATAATCAGTAGTTTGAGTGCTTCGTTTCCTTCGGGTTATGAGACATTCTAGTTTCATATCCGTTACTTTATAGTCTTTCTTGTCAGTAATCACGCAAGATACACTCGTTTAATGTTAGAATTTCTTTTACAGTGAAAACTTCGAGGTTATTGCACTATTCTAGAAATGGTGCGTCCATAATCTTTTCGTTTCATGAGAAGGTAGAAATCAAATGTTCGTATTCTGTCATAGACCCACTATTCTTCAGTATCACAAAGAAAGATAATATGAAAAAAAGACGCACTGTGATAGAAGACAATCAAAGTGTTCAATAAAAGAAGAATGCTTATGAAGAGATGTGTTTTGACTAACTCTCTCTTTACTGAACTTTATCAGTCACACAGCACATGCAACTTTCTAATGAGATTGTTATGCTAGAGCAAAATTGCGTTTAAATTGCAGCAGACATAATCAAGAATGATAAATAACGATCAGAAAGTTCAACAATAAAACACTAAAATAAACAATATTTCTGTTATTTTTCTTACTAGAAAGTTTATGCCTGAGTAAATGTAAATTGGGAACAATGGAGTTCAGAGTGTACAATCATTATTTAGATGTGAGCTCCACATAGTATGGCATATCACTATTCATTTAAGCTGATATATCAGTATATTCAAACTGTTTGTTTCCATATTCTACATCTAGTCTTTTTTGCATTTTGAAAATTGTGAATAATTTCTATATAAAATTATAGAAGCAGACTGAAATTGATTTTTTAACGCACTGCAGGGATATTGTGTAGTATAATAGATTTTTAATGCAACTATAACTCATTATCTTCATTTAGCTACTATCACTCCAACTAAAACGCTGTCATTTATAATGTTTACTTTTGTCCATCGATTAATATCGAACGACTACTGCAAATTACTTTGAATATTCGAATAGAATCTTTGTTCTGCCTGTGCATGCATTATGTCATCATTATTTGAAACAACAGCTGTGATGCTTTCCTTACAGTCATCGATGTAATTGAATCAATGTTTCCTTTAAAATATCCAAATATCTTTAGATCATCCATCAAAAAATATTATATTCACAACTTACGGTACACAAGTAGATACCTGCACGAATTATTTGTTCATTTCATTCCTATTCTACATTTTTCTTCAGTACACTGTCAGCCATATGATATTCCTGTAATATAATCAATATTTGAACACACTGATTGTATTGATTATTTAGTTAGCACTTTTTCCGTGAACGTGTTGTTCACCGAAATGAATTACTTGAGCCAACCTAGATATTTGAACAGAATCTTTATGTTGAGCTTGATTGATTTATCGAGATACATTTCCTGATGCGATCGAGTGACATACTATGCTTCAAAGTGAGCGATATATTTTAATGTAACCCTTATTATAATGATTCATTAGCCAAAAGAATTTTGGTCATGTGATTCAATGAAATGCTTTCCTTCAAATTGTGTGACATATTTAAATGGAACCATGATTTTATTAATTCATTTCTCAATAGATCCATACTGATGTGATCGATTGAGACAATTTGCTTCGAAATGTGCAATATACTTGTATACAATCATGATTGTAGTAATTCATTTATCAAGAGATCCATGTTGATGTGATTGAGTGAGTCATTTTACTTCAAACTGTCCGATATACTGGTATACAATCCTAATTATAGTGATTCATTTATCAAGAGACCTTTCCTGATATAATTCAGTAACGAGCATAAATTCGAACTAAACAATATATTTGACTGACATTCTTGTTATAACGATTCATTTGCCGAAATATCTTTGCTGATATGATCAACTAATAAACATTGCTTCGAGCTGAACGATATACTTGAATGAAACCTTTATTAAAACAATTCATTTATCAATAGATCTTTGCTGATGCAATCAAGTGATACACTATGCTGTAAAGTGACCGATATACTTTAATGGAACTGTGCTTATCATGATCCAATAGCCGAAAGACTTTTGCTAATGTGATCGAATGAAACACTTCGCTTCGAATCGAGTGATATATTTTAATGGCACCCTGATCATTACAATTCATTGGTCAATAGATCCGTGCTGATGTGATTGACTGAGACATTTCACTTCGAACGGTGCGATATACTTGTATGCTATCCTAATTATAGTGATTCATTTATCAAGAAATCCATGCTGATCTGATTGAGTGAGACATTTCACTTCGAACTCTCTGCTATACTTTTATACAATCCTGATTAAAGCGATTCATTCATCAAGAGATCTTTGGTGATGTGATCGAGTGACATAAATCACTTCAAATTGAACGATATATTAGAATGAAATCTTTGTTATAAGGATTTATTTGCCAAGAGATCTTTGCGGATGTGATTGACTGATAAGCATTGCTTCGAGCTGAACGATATACTTGAATGAAACCTTCCTTAGAACAAATCATTTATCAATAGATCTTTGCTGATGTAATCGAGTGACATACTATGCTTTAAAGTGAGCGATATACTTTAATGGAGTTGTGCTTATAATGATTCAACAGCCGAAAGATTTTTGCTAATGTGATCGAATGAAACGCTTCGCTTCGAATCGAGTGATATATTTTAATGGCACCCTGATTATTACAATTCATTGGTCAATAGATCCGTACTGATGTGATTGACTGAGACATTTCACTTCGAACGGTGCGATATACTTGTATACAATCCTAGTTATAATGATTCATTTATCAAGAAACCCATGCTGATCTGATTGAGTGAGACATTTTACTTCGAACTCTCTGCTATACTTTTATACAATCCTGCTTAAAGCGATTCATTCATCAAGAGATCTTTGGTGATGTGATCGAGTGACATAAATCACTTCAAATTGAACNCACCCCCACCCCCCCCACCCCCCCCCCCCCCCCCCTACCCACCCCCCCACCCATCCCCACACCCACACCCCACACCCACACCCTTTCTTATTTTTCCTATTTGTTATGCTTGTATTGTCATGTATCATCATAAATAAAGCTTTGCCTCCAAAAAAAAAAAAAATCTACATCTATTCGTTTATTAATGAACACTTAGAATAAAATTATGAAATTCAAAACCCTTAAAACAGCTTCATATACCCTTTTTAGATTCATATACCCTTACGATCACAAATCCTTCGGCTCATGTACCCTTCAAATGGTATATGTCATGCGCATAAACCCTTCAAGGGTTTATAGAAAAAAAAATCAAGGGCAAGCGTTGATTAATCTACCGTTTTTTTACAGTGTTCTCCGTTACTATGTGTCTGTAATGGGGGGAGGAGCTGTCAAACCTTGAACTTAAAACTTACACTCACTATTCTCTTCAAAAACATACATGAGTTCCACAAAATGAAATATAAGTTTAATTTTTTGTGTTGAATACAGATGATTTCATTATTAATCCAAAGTAGTAAGTTGTATGGGTAGATGGTTGTGGATTTGAAGTGTGAGTCTAAATATCGGTAAGCGTACGATTGAAGAGAAGTATCTGCCCTGTCAGTGTAATTACTGCAAATCTGCAGGTTACTCACAGCTACGATCATATGAAGTCTTACCGAGCATGAGCACTTGTGTATGCAGCATTTCCTCTGAATAGATCGTGAGACGGATAGACAATCCTAAAGATCAGACGAATCTGGTCGTGATTTTAACTGAGTATGGACGTGGACGTCAGTGTCGGTGACAGAGTCTGTTTCAGTCATGTACAGACATTGCGATATTTACCATTCACACACATGCATATTTCTTATCAAATTACTCACTATCAATTCTAGTTCATTCCTCATGAAAAACGGTTTGTTCTGCTTTTTTTGTGCTTGATTGATAATTATAGCCGTCGCAATAGTATTCAATAACGTTCCGAAGTAATGTGTTAGCGGGTTCACCTCCTTGTTGTTACTTTTCTATATTATTTCTTTTTTTCTCTTTTCTTTCTCTTTCTTGTTGTCAGATCTATCTTGATATTATATAACCTTGATCACTCTTTATTATTTGTCTTTAAGTTTGACCCTTGATCTAGGTAGTCGAGATACACATATATATATATTCTTTTTTTTTCTACAAGGACAGATATAGCTGTGTAACTGTACGTGTGTGTGCGGACATTTTGATTTTGAAATAAAATAAAGAAGATCGAGCATCAGACCTCTAATATTTGGTGCCGTGGTCGATTATTTTTATTATATTAACAATAATAAAAATCTTACCAGAGGCCATTCCAAATTAGGAGTGACCTGTATAATTTCAATACTTCAAAATCAAATAAAGAGGAAGTTCATTTCGAATTACCTGATAAGAATAAAAGCATTCTACGATTAAGTTATTGTTTACACGAGTAAACTATTCAATCTTCAGCAACGGCTTACAATTTACGAGGTTTTGATACGGGTCCTGAATTGAACGATGACTTACTAACAGAAACATCCGAACGTACAGTTAAGAAACTAACATTGGAATCATTAATTAACACTACTGAACGCACAGATCAACATATAGAAAAAATGCCTCACAACGTACAAGACTCAGCGATGATGGTATGCTATCGGGAATGTTTATCGAATTTAGGAAAATTCAATGGTGGTGAAGATCAAAAAGTTTTACAATTTATTAATAATATCGAAAGAATTGGAAGAATAATCGATGCAAATGATGATATTCTACTTTGTATGTGCACAGCAAAAGTAGATGGTGAAGCGAAACGCTGGTATGAAGACAACATGACATTAGTCCAGTGGGAAAATCTAAAACCAGCATTATTAGAAAGATTTACAACATCGGATTCATCATCAAAAATATTTGAACAACTAAAAGAACGGAAACAAAAACCAGATGAAATAATTACATCGTATTATGACGCCGTTGTTAAATTATGTCGAGAATATGATTCATCCATGTCACAAAAAATGATGATATCATGGTTACAAAATGGAATTAAGGATTCATTGAAGACTCAAATTAAACGGCAAATGAAACTAATACCTGAATTAGCACGAACAACTCAAGCATTGTTAAAAATTGCTAAGGATGAACAAGAATTACAAGAAGAAGATTCATATGAACAACAAGCAGCACAATCTTATTTACCATACATCATGAATACCGTATCAACAACATTACAAGAAGCACGAAGCAACTCCGAAACAGTACCACTATCTACTTATTCGTCACAACGACATCCAAGATATAAACAGAATACAGAATATGCTCCATCATCGAAACTTACAGATTCATTAAAGTCGAAATCAAAAAGTCAATATTTAACTTCACGAACACCAACTATTTTACGTCAACAATATGATGCCAGACTTTTACAATAATTACAACAACTAAGAACACAATATGAACAAGAAATGCAATTATTAGAAGAAGAAATAGCGGCACAATATGAAAAAAAGATTGAAGATTTACAAAATATAAATCGTCGTAATCAAGAATAAATAAATAATTATCGTGTTGATCTTATATTATATCGTGAACGTATTGAAGAAGCAACAAAAAATCGTGATACATATAATGAAAAAATGTTACAATTACAACAACGATGTCGTGATTTAGAAGTCAATAATGAAAATGAATTATCATGTCAACCACACGACGATATTGAACCAACTTTACAAATAAGTATATTTAATCAAACAAAAAATTTTAATAATATTTTAGGAATTCATGAAAATTTTCCAGACGATCAACCTTATGGATCAAATGATATTAATACAATACATGTGGAACACGATGCTATTGAACTTCAACCCAATGATGATATGGATATACAATCTTTACCTGAAATTATGAAAGTTCATTTTTATCATGAACCAAGTCGTCCACATCTACAACAACATCATAATGAACAGTCATCAATGCAACAGATGACAGTTCGTATCACAAATGAACTACATCAGGTAAGCAATTCTCATCATTTAGGTACAAATTCAACAACAGCAACATTAACACCCAAACAAGTAGGAAGTCGAAAGACAAATTGTCGACATCGTATAAATCGATATCTTTATGAAGTTATTCGCCAAGTTTATCGATTATTCAGCATTACAAAAATCAAACGAATATTAAGATCAATGAATATATTTTATGTCAATATTAATATGGTCCGACACAAATTATTTATTGGACTCAAGAGTCAAACAATGGCGGATGAGATCGAAAAACTATTACATGACCGAATCTTTACCGAACAACATTATCATCGTCTATATAGGTAACAGATTTTCGTTATTTCTCTTTTTTTGTATGATGTTGAACATGTGTGTGTTTTATTTTTCATGAACGTTTTTTTGTACACTTGTTGTTTCTTCTCTTGTTTCTATTTTTTTTGTTATTTCTTATTCATGTGTGCGGACACACATTTTTTTTAGGGGGTCGACTGTTAGCGGGTTCGCCTTCTTGTTGTTACTTTTCTATATTATTTCTTTTTTTCTCTTTTCTTTCTCTTTCTTGTTGTCAGATCTATCTTGATGTTATATAACCTTGATCACTCTTTATTATTTGTCTTTAAGTTTGACCCTTGATCTAGGTAGTCGAGATATACATATATGTGTCAGGCAAATTTGGTATTCAGGCAAAAATTGAACTTATGATCAAACTTTTTCTCTTGAAAATAAAGGATATGATTTTGCCTAGTCAAAATTAGCTCTGTGCATAATTGAGATTAAAGAAAGAATTGATATATAGGCTTCGATATTCTTCATAATTTTTTTTTTAATTACTATAGTATTTTATCAAAAAAACATTATGAGTTTGTTTGAGTATAGATGTGGCAGGTGAGTTTGGAATCTAGTTTCGATGATGGGGACATGGGGACATTGACGATTGGTGAGATTTTATTTTTCATCGAATTTTTTTTCGTTTACACAAAAAATTTGTATTTTTTTTCGATGACGGGGACATGGTGACATTGATGATTGATGAGATTCTATTTTTTTCATCGAATTTTTCTCTCGCTTACAAAAAAAATTGTGTTCTTTTTCGATGGTGGGGACATGGGGGCATTGATGATTGGTTAAATTGTATTATGAGCAAATAATTTTTTGTCTACAGTATCTGTATGCCCTGTTTTGATGAAAATGGATTGACGTGGGGTGATTGTCTAAAAGAATCGAATGTTTCTTGAGCAAGAGATGAAAATGGGTGCACATGGAGTAACTGTCTAAAAGAATCGAACGTTTCTCGAGCAAGCGATGAAAATGGGTTGAGATGGGGAGACTGTCTAAACGAAAGAAAATTTTCTACGACATGCTGTGGCTTGTCTGATAAACATCGTATATGTCTTCGTATAAAAGAACAGATTTAACTTCTTTAAAATCACATAAAAGTTTATGACCAGCGGTAAGAGGAAGCGCGAACGTTTGTTTGCACCAGTGAGAAAAACGACCGGAAACCTTTTCAGTAGATAGCTTGTTCTGAAGTACATTGACTATTTTTTTGCTTTGAACACGAGTGCTAACAGCTTTATTACGAAATTTAGGATTTAACGCATCAATATGTCTTTTAGCAAGTTCATAAAATTTTTCACGTGCAAAATCATTGATAATAGGATGAGAATAAGTTGATTGTTGTAATGTCATTGTTGATATTGCAAAAGAAAATATCGAAAGCTATTCAACACTCAATGAACTTTGTTTATGAAAATGAAAAAAATGGTAGTTAGGCGATATAAAATAATCACGAACAGAGAACGAATTCTGCCTAGTCAAAATTGAATTTGATAGAAGCGCCAAAAAAAACCAATTTTGCCTGTGACATATGTGTGCACATAAGATCTAAGATATGAATGGTCTTTTAAGACTGAGTCATGTATAACCATATAAGGAAAATAACAGCTGTTAATTATCATTTTTGGCATTATTTATATCTCCTGAACGCTGGCGAATTTCAAAAAACGGATTTCAGATGCGCACTCATCATGTTCTGAGGATCTCGCCCAATTTTTTTTCGACTAAAAATGATAATCAGGAGCTGAGAACGAGTGGCTGACTTGAATCGTGACTCATGTGTTGAGAAGAAGAAGAAGAAGACTAGACTGCCATTCAGCGCTACGCACTGGATGGAATGTCGACTGACTGCAGGCTAGATGTTTATTTCCTTTAAGGTGATAGTTCATTGCTTGATAGCTATTCGAAAATTTTTCTCTGACGCTGAAGACTTCATGCCATACGATTTTATATCGCATCAAGCGACAATTAATTAAAATAGACATGCATTTAACGTCCTACATATGAATGGTTGGTTCAAGATTGAATCATTCATCATCATATAAAGACGATATCAGCTGTTAATTATCGTTTTCCTGTATGTTTATTTCAATCGCTTAGTCGTCATTTGAAAAGTTTCTCTACAATTTTCAGACTTTATCATGAACGATTTTCAGTCGCGCAAGGCAATAATTAAAATATGTATGCACTTATCATCGTAGATAATGAATGGTCATCTAAGACTGAATCATGCATACCCATATAAGGAAATTGTCAGCTGTTAATTATTGATTTTCGGCATTTCTATATCTTCCGAACGCAGGCGACTTTCGAAAAATGGATTTCAGATGTGCACTCGTCACGTTCTCGGAATCTCGACCAACTTTTTTTCGACTAAAAATTATAATCAGGAGCTGAGAACGAGTGGCTGACTTGAATCGTGACTCATGCGTCGAGAAGAAGAAGACTAGAATTCCACCCGACCCAAGGCCGGGTAGAGAAGTCGGCTGACTGCACGAGCCCAAAAAACATCGAAATCTGATCCTATACGACATCTACTGTTTCTAAACCCAAGACGCGTGTAGAGGAAATCATAATGAATCTGAGTCATAAAGTTCCATATTAGGAAGCTCTCAGCTGTTCATTATTGTTCTTCGTATTTCATCTGTTTAAACCATCAAGAGATTTTTCTAAACGTTTGAGACTCTTTCATGGACGAATTTAAGCCATGTAAGACGATAATTAAAATATATATGCATTTGACATCTTACATATGAATGGTCATCTAAGATTGAATCATGCACTGCCATAAAAGGAAACTATCAGCTGTTAATTATTGTTTTCCTCATATTTTATATCTCCCGAATGCTGCCGAATTTTGAAAAACGGATTTCAGATGTGCACTCGTCACGTTCTCACGATTTCGCCAAGCTTTTTTTCGACTGAAAATGATGTTTAGGTACTGAGAATGGGTGGCTGACTCGAATCATGACTCATGCGTCGAGCGGATGAAGAAGAAGAAGAATTTGCCATGGCAACTAAGCTAGTGAAAAGCAATAAATCGGTTCCTGCACTTCGTGCAGTCAGCCGAGTTAAGTAAGAGAGAGAATGAGAAGAATACATCGAAGTGAAAACAATATTTTTTTCTGATAATTAAAGTGTGCCTTTTCTTTTCTTCATCTCAAGTATCAGTGCGTGAACAAAACAAATGGATGTGAACAAAAATGCTGCATCAATGTCGATTTTTACCAAAGCTGAACTAAGCATGAATAAACGTTTCAAATTAATTTCATGGAACATCGATGGACTCGATAGACTTCAATATACGCTTGAAGAAAGAACTCGTGGCGTTGTTGATGTCATACAACGGTAATAGAATTACATTCACAATTCAAAGAGAATACTAAAACATACTCGTTCGTAATCTTTCTATGTAATATTGAATTCATAATAGAAACTGAAACCGAATCGAGTCGAGTTAAATGGAAATGCCTTTATTCGTTTTTTGTTCTCTGGATGAATATTGCATAAGACAAAAAACAGAGAAGTTCAAACATATTCTTTCATTGTTTGAGTGACACTAATTAAATTGACTTACCTCATAGTAGTCTTTCATTGTGATAATTTCTGTAGAAAAAAAATATTTTAATTTTTAACGATAAACGTTTTAAAGAATAAGAAAGAAAAAGATAATCATTCTTATGTGGTTTTTACCGATTATTTTTTTTCCATCTGTTTAATCTATTTTTTTTCAAATAAAATTTTTCTTTAAATCGGCTTTTATACCTTTAGTAAAAGGTTTTTGATTAATATTCGTCTTGATCAGTTTTCGCTTGTCCAATGGTCAAAGATACACTCCGCTCATAAAGTTTCGATTTTTCAATCACCAATTATTATTATTGTTCTTGCGCGTTCATTGATGTCGAACTTTTATGAATCATTTTATTCAATGAAAATCTACTTTCTATTGTAGTTTTTCTTTAAAAAAACTAATTGATGTTTCAATATGTATGAACGAATCAAATATAAAAGATGGAACTTGGACCAGAAAATAGAAAAATAAATCACTTTCTCAGAAAAAAAATCAGAACATATGTAGTGTGCAACTTGTGTGATAGCATTAACATCTTTTCCGTGAATATAAGTCGAATCAAATCCGAAGAAAGATTTTCTTATTCGTTTCGGTTTCTGATTCATAGTGGAAATAAATGCATATTTTATTTTCTAGAGAAAAACCAGATGCTGTCTTTCTTCAAGAAGTTATTCCACAATCGCTTGTGTTACTGAATAATTTTCTACCGGAATACGATTCCTATACTGGTGAGTGAATTTATGTGAAGATTGAGCATAATGTTGTCTTTTAGGCGATATCGAAGGCTATTTCGTGGCTATATTAACACGACGTGACACCCTCAAAGTACAAAGTCACGAAGTAATTCCTTATCCTGGTACACAAATGGATCGAAATTTACTGATTGTTCATGTAAGCTATTTGAAAATTGCTTTCAAATATCATGTAATAATATTCGATATATTTCAGGTTATTTATGAAGGCTTCATCGAAATCGATTTGATGACAAGCCATCATGAGAGCTGCAAGCCTGGTGCCAACGAGCGTATTCAACAATTAAAGTTATGCTTCGAAAAAATGGTTGAAACTCCAGCTAATCGAATTGTTCTCTTCGGTGGTGATTTGAATATGCGTGACGATGAGGTGAGATTTTTCACTTGCATAACATTCCTTTCTTGAAAAGAACAAAAATAAACGATACTACAACTCATCTTTATCGATAGGCTTTTTAATTCTAAGACTTTCAAATATAATGAGCTGGTTAAAGTTCGAAACAAATCAATTTTCATAGTTCGGCCCTACTTATCATCGCTGATGTCCTGATCCTATTCGACTCTATACAAAATGAAATTAGTTTTTTTAACTAAACAATATGATGGTAGCATTTTGAATTCTGAATACTCTCTCAGAGATTTAGAAAGTAAATAGTTTTCAACTAATC